ACCAAGCTAGTTTGTGGGGGGGGGGGGGGAGTTTAACCCTATACCATCCAGCTTTACCTGCTAGCCAGCTTTCCACCCATGCTGTGCTCATCGTTACAAGTTCTCAAGCCAGTCTGTGTGATGGGTTAAACCAGCCAAGCCAGCCAGTCAACTAACCCAGGTGACTAACCCAGTACTCAAGCAAGCCACGTGAGTTCCAGCCTTCACCATCACTTTGTGCTTCCAGTTCAAGCTGTTCTGTGTGTTTTACCATCCCTGTGGTGTTGTGGTATTTTGTGGGTTTTTAAACCAGCCGGCTTAGAATATTTTCGTGCCTAAAGCGGGTGTCCACAGAGTGGCTTACGCTGCTTATCCCATCCCGGAGGCCCAGTCACCACGCGGTGTTCCACCGTGCTGCCTTGCTCACCCACACCCACCTCTGTTTTTTTTTTTTGTACCCTTATAACGGGTCCCAGCACTTTATTTTATGGAGCACATAAGGGGTCAAGAAGCAAGATTGTTCCTTCGACCCTGTGCGCCTACGTAAAAGCCTCCTGTGTGAGTCTATCATCAATTTAAGCACAAATTCAACGTGTTTGAGAGTAGTGAAGTGCTGCACCAGCTGCAGCCAACCTTCCTCCACCTCCCACACTTCTCATTCTCTACCAACGCCACTACAGTGATAACATTTTTATAGACATTTGTGAGTGTTGAGACTTTTTTTGTTTTTTCTCTTCCAGTGATTTCTTAGTGACATTCAGTGACTCTTGATTAGACTGTTCATTACATTCTTGTTTGCAATATTTTTTTTCTTCTTTCTTCAGTGTTAATTTTTGTGCTTTATTTTTGTCTGTAGTGTTGTGTTAATTTTTTTTATATACGTGAAGTAAGTATTTTTCAGTTTTTCCTTGTTGTGTGCAATATATAAGCAGTATAAACTTGTGTTTACACTTCATAAATTATCTTGTGTTCACAGTATTGTGTTCCTTGCCTAGTAATTTATACAGTGAAGTAATTCAGTAACTTGTTATCTTATATTCTGCATCGCAATTCAGTGTTGTTTCAGTTATTTTTTTTTCTCCCAGCATTTGTTTCCTCCCTGAATTTTTTTTTATTCATTCATTTGCCTTTTTTTCTGTGTGTTGAACATTCTTGTGTTATTTTCATTTAGCCAGTTTCTAATTTGTCTTATCTCACAGACAATAGTGCCATTATTTTGTTTGAAGCAAGACAATTATTTTCCAATTTTTGTCACCCCAAGCTTCATTGCAAGAAAATTCTCATAGTATTGTGCATATATTGAAGTGTTTTGTTCCTGCCTTATTGTGAGTGTAATCTTTCTTTGTTTTGCGTTTTTGCCTTTATTATTTTTCATATTTCATTGAACAAATTCACTCTTAGTGCAATTTTTACATTCTTTTTTAAAGTAAATTATCTTTTGCTTGTTCAGTAAGTGTTTGCTTAAGCTGCAATTAAAAGTTAAAGTGTTCAGTCAGTTCATTCCTTGATAATTTTTTATTGTTTTTGTAAACGGCATTTTCTAGTGTGTGCAATTTGTTTTATTATTGCAGTATTGATTCATTTGCAATGATTCTTGTGTAAATATTGTGCTGCCATTAATTTTTTTCTTTCAGAAATTTTTTATGTAGTGTTGTGTTGTGCAGTATATTTTGATTAGTATTTGTTTTTGCAATATTGCTACAGTTTATTTCAGTGCAATACTCTGTGATTTCAGTTTCACATTCCTTGTTCTGTACATAATATTTTATTCCTTGTGTGTCATTTTATTTTATTTTTAGTGAATTGCTTTCCCAGTCTATTTTAATTTTGCACAAGATTTATTTATTCCAATTTATCATTTTTTATTAATTTACCATTTCTTGTTGAATTTCTTTATTGAATTGAAAGTAAAGAAAGCTCACTGTGCCATTAATTCAATTTAAAGTAAATTCGAGTAAATTTGACTAGAGTAAAGTAAAATTTTTCTTGATTTTCAAAGTGTTGCTTATCCAGCTGAGTGTTTTATGTGAGTTTCCCTTGCTTTACAGTGTGACTTATTTTTTTTTCCTTTACTTATGCAGAATAGTTAAGCATTTTCTCCCATTTCAGCTTATTGTGTTATTCTCTCTATTTTTCTTGCCTTTATGTCCTTAAGTAAGTTCCTTGAGATGTCTCAGTCACTTTTGTTTGCTCACTTAGTGTATCATACCAGTCAAAGTCAATATGAATCAGTGCACAGTACCAATATTCCATTACTGATTGAAAGACATTACCTAGCCCTTGAACAGTGTGTTTGTTGTCACAGCTTGTATTTGAGATTTGTTAAAGTGCTGCGGAATGTGAAGCTCGAAGTAAGTCCCTGTAGATCCGTGCATTGCTTATTAACGTAGCCGAGCGGTCAGGCACTAGTAACTCTGTCACTCCCATCTGTGTTCCACCTACACCTTCAGACATGCAGGATAGTGTTCAGTTACCTCAAGTGTCCGAGGACACTCAGATTGCCTTGAGTGCTCAGCGTATCCCTGCAGTGTCTGCTAGTTCAAGTAGTAGTTTCTCCACAGGGGATGCCTTGTCAGAGAACGATTACTTGAAACTAGTAAACTATCATTCGAGCACCTGCACTATCATTCGAGCACCTGCACTATCATTCGAGCACCTGCACTACCATTCGAACACCTGCACTATCATTCGAGCACATGCACTATCATCTGAACAAAAGCAATAGTGTTGGAGCACCTGCACTATCATTCGAGCACCTGCACTATCATCCGAGCACCTGCACTATCATGCGAGCCCTTGCAATAGTGTTGGAGCACCTGCACTATCATTCGAGCACTTGCAATAGTGTTGGAGCACCTGCACTATCATTCGAGCACTTGAAATAGTGTTGGAGCACCTGCACTATCATTCGAGCACCTGCACCATCATTCGAGCACTTGCAATAGTGTTGGAGCACCTGCACTATTATTCGAGCGCCCGCAATAGTGTTGGAGCACATGCACCATCACTCGAGCACCTGCACTATCATTCGAGCACCCGCAATAGTGTTGGAGCACATGCACTATCACTCGAGCACCTGCACTATCATTCGAGCACCTACGACAGTGTTGGAGCACCTGCACTATCATTCGAGCACATGCAAATAGTGTTGGAGCACCTGCAAAAGTCTTGATGCAACTGGAATATTGTCGGAGCACCTACAATCGTGTTGAGCCATCTACAATAGTGTTGGAGATCCTGCAACATTGCTGGAGCTTTTGTAGTAGTGTTGGAGTTCTTGCAGCTGTGTTGGTGAAAAAGGGTATTGTCCTTGAAGATTGTTGTTGTTGTTGTTCTTGTTGTTAATATCTCGGGAAAGTGCTAAACCCATTAGGGTCATACGTAGCATGGCAGATTGGAGGTAAACCAAAGAAAAGAAGACTAGTTCGAATTCCTTGGATCAAAGGTGAGAAGGAGGGGGGTTATGCAACACATTTAAGGTATACGGATTTAATCAAAGGAAATGGAGGGTTGCTCCTACTCCCAGGATCAAGAGCCCAGCATTATAAAAAGAAGAGGAGGAAGGGAAAGGATTTATCATACATCCAATTCAGGTTTTCACAGTTTTATTTATAAATCTTCACATCCATAATTGGAATAACAAAAGAAATATCGATTCATCTTTTCAGATATATACAGTTCGTGGTAAAAATTAACCAAGTAAGAAAAATAGGAGAGGCATCCAACAACACATAAGACGATAAAAAACAAGGTTACTGTGGCTATCTGCGCTGAGTAAAGCACTCACTCGAGTATATATATGTATTTATATATACACATAAGTATATAAATATAGGTATTTATAGAAAACATATTTACGAACAGAAACACAAATACTAACACTCTTACACTTGCACATGTACACATATACACAAATAAGTATTTATAATATATATATATATATATATATATATTATATATATATATATATATATATATATAATATATATATATATATGTATTATATATATATATATATACTTATATATGTCGTGCCGAATAGGCAGAACTTGCGATCTTGGCTTAAATAGCAACGTTCATCTTGCCATATAGGACAAGTGAAAATTTGTGTATGCAATAATTTCTCCAAAATCATTCTGAACCTAACGAAAAAAATATATTTCACTGTGTTTGTTTAGTATTAAATTATTGTAAACAAATCTCAAATATATTTAGTTGGGTTAGGATAAAATAAATTGTTCTTGTTATAATAAGGTTAGGTAAGTTTTCTAAGATTCTTTTGGTGCAAAATTAATTTTTTTTTACATTTATATTAATGTAATGAAACGTATAAGAGAAAATTTTAGAAGGGACTTAATTTTAAATGAGTACTTGCTAATTGACCAGTTTTACATATTCGGCACGACAAATATATATACATATAATATATATATATATATTATATATTATATATATATATATATATATATATATATATAATTATATATATAAATATATATATATATATATATATATAATATATATAATATATTATATATATATAATATATATATATATATATATATATATATATATATATATATATATATAAAAACATTTGAAAATATATTTTTTTCATTAATGTAAATGTAAAGTTTTTTTAATTTTGCACCAAAAAAAATCTTAGAAAGCTTACCTAACCTTATTATAACAAAAGTAATTTATTTTAGATTAACCCAACTAAATATGTTTTAGATTTGTTTACAATAATTTAATACTAAACAAACACAGTGAAATATATTTTTTCGTTAGGTTCAGAATGATTTTGGAGAAATACCGCATACACAAATTTTAGCTTGTCCTATATGGCAAGATGAGCGTTACTATTTAAGCCAAGATCGCAAGTTCTGCCTATTCGGCACAATATATATATATATATATATATATATATATATATAATATATATATATATATATATATATATATATATAATATATATATATATATATATATATATATATATATATACTGAAAAGCACGGGTAGTCTTGCACACGCTCACAAGCATTAACAAGTTGAATATAATTAATTTCCCCAAAAACAAAACAGTTTTCTAATCTAAAACATTATACTATGAGCCTAGATCAAAGGTAACCTCTCAAAGAGAATAGTTTGTGTTGATCTAGTGAGTGGAAGTATGTGGCGCCGGCGTAAAGAGATAAGTCGCGAGCAGAAGGACCAGGGCGGTGGTGCCTACTATAGCCTGATAGCTCACCCACTCCCTGTAGGACCCATTGCTGCTGCTGCCGCTGCTGCTGCTGCTGCTCTCTGGGGGGTTTCTTCCGTGCTGCATGGCGGCCGGACGCTTGTCTGTGGGAGATTTTTAGGTTAATTAAGGCTTAAGCCCATCGACCAAACGAGGGTCATTAAAGTTTTATGAAACCTGTTCACCACCAGTCAAACGTACTTTGATCCCATAAACAAGGATTAAAGTAAGCCCTCAGGATATATATATATACTATATATATATAATATATATATTATATATATATATATATATATATATAATATATATATATATATATATATATATATATATATATATATATATATATATATATACATATATATATATATATATATATATATATATATATATATATATATATATATATATATATATATATATATATGTCGTGCCGAATAGGCAGAACTTGCGATCTTGGCTTAATAGCAACGCTTATCTTGCCATATGGACAAGTGAAAATTTGTGTATGCAATAATTTCGCCAAAATCATTCTGAACCTAACGAAAAAAAAATATATTTCACGTGTTTGTTTAGTATTAAATTATTGTAAACAAATCTAAAAATATTTAGTTGGGTTAGGCTAAAATAAATTGTGCTTGTTATAATAAGGTTAGTAGGTTTTCTAAGTTCCTTTGGTGCAAAATTATAAATTTTTACACCAACATTAATAAAAAAATATATCTTTAAATGTATAAGAGAAATTTAGAAAGGACTTAATTTTAAATGAGTTCTTGCTAATTGACCAGTTCTACATATTCGGCACGATATATAATATTAATATATAATAATATATATATATATATAATATATATATATATATATATATATATATATATATAATATATATATATATTATATATATATATATATATATATATATATATATATATTTAGCCACTACGCCACGACGGTGAATAATGCATCCAAGAATATAAACTAAATTAGCCGAACAACGAAGGACTTCAGACACGTACTAAACATTACATTGTGCTCCCATGTGATTTACCAGCTGTTTCTTAGAACCCACTTCCCGAAAGTTTACCGCTGATTCGTTCAAAATTAACCGCACTAAAAGAAGAAACGTGTGACGACGTTTCGGTCCAACAAGTCACAACTAAAAGATATATAAAAACAGAGAAATAATAAGACTAATCAGGAAGGGGGACGGGAGGAAATTAGTGATTAGTATAGGTTAAGTTTTCACGTAATGCTAGTTAGCGACTGATGAAGTTCAGTAAACTATAACATTCAATAGGAACAATAAAAGCATTAATACGTAACTGCTAGCAAAAACAAACAAGAAACAAACAAGAAGAGTGAGGGATCCAAATAGTGAAAAGCAAACTTCCAAGTAATATTGACACAGTAAAATACCGATGTTTGCTGAGGACAGATTGCATGCTTTTGCCGCTGCAAATAAATCTCACAATATCACGGGCTATCGTTCCTCTTCCCTATATCACTGCTTATAACCACTATACCTCGTCTTATAATGCACCCAATGTGGTCTATGATTTCTCCATCACGACTTAAGTTCCTTTAATCACAGCCTACAACCCCTCCATCACAGCCTATAACTCTATCACAGCCTATAACCCCTCTATGACAGCCTATAACCTCTCCACAGACTCTCTCTGTCACAGCCTATAACCCCTCTATGACAGCCTATAACCCCTCCATCATAGCCTATAACCCCTCTATCACAGCCAACAGTTCCTCCATCACAGCCTATAATTCTTCCTTCACAGCCTATAATTTCTCCATCTACAGTATGAGAGACTCGTAAATGTGATCGTCACTAGGCGAGCAAGAGCTCCAACAGGATGTGCGTTTCCGCACGAAGAACAATTCCCAGGTTTCCACTGATCCCAACCTCCGTATCAGTTAAACTCTAGCAGAAATTTTACATTAGGTGAGGTTAAATTACACTAACGGACATTAACTAATATTTACGTTTAGTTAATCGACGATACAGGAATAAATGTGAACGTCCTGCTTACTCTTAACAGTGCGGGATAGGTGGTAGTCCTCAGAACGCTGGTATCACCACGTAGGTATCTACCTTTCAATATTGTCCGAGGTCAAGCATACCCTTAATAACTTTGATATTTTATATAAAGTTGTGTTTATTCCTTTTTTGAGGGAGGGTGTGAGTGTGTGCACTTGCGATATCATAAAAAGCAATGACTGAATATGTTAAATTTGTCTTGGGATAAGGAGAGCGATCTGCATTTAAAAGTGAATTTGAACGATAAGGCCAGAAAATGGCTGTAACGAGTACTCCATAAGCGGAGAAATGTCCCAAGTGTGCCATTTGATGATGTGAGGTGGACGGGTGTGTGTGTGTGTGTAAGAGAGAGACAGACAGACAGACAGACAAACAGACAGACAGACAGACAGACAGACAGACAAACAAACAGACAGACAGACAGACAGACAGACAGACATACAGACAGACAGACAGACAGACAGATAGACAGACAGACAGACAGACAGACACAGACAGACAGACACAGACAGACAGACAGACAGACAAACAGACAGACAGAGACAGACAGACAGAGACAGACAGAGAGACAGACAGACAGACAGACAGACAGACAGACAGAAGACAGACAGACAGAGACAGAAGACAGACAGACAGCAGACAGACAGAGACAGAGCTATGCACTGGGATAAAAGAAGAGAAAGGGAAAGTGATGGAAAAGGGGAGAGAGAAGGAGAGAATAAAAGGAATAGGGGAGAGAAAGAGAGAGATAAAGAAGTAGGGTGGAAGAAGACATGGGACGAGAAAGGAGAGGCAGGAAGAGTAAGAGAAATATAAATGACAAGGAAATAAGTGGAATAGTGTAATCCTATCTACACAAAATCCATACGAGGTGGATGACTGAGATTGTAAACACATAAACAGAGATGTTCTCTTCGACAGGAGAGACAACATAAAGATATTTGTTATCACTGCATTTATAAGATGAAATACACAAGCACTTATGTACAAAACAGTGCCCTTATCTCTGCAGCATGATACCCACTTCAACAAAAATTCACGACGGATGTTATGATAACTGATAACAAACATCAAGTATCAGATACCAAACACTAACAAATACTGAGTACCTACAAGGGATAAGTCCCACATTAAACCACTGCAATAAGATTCAATTTCACTTTACTTCCGAGCAGTTCACTCTAAGAGAAACCTAATTCTCATTTCACGAGAAAACACAAATTTTCTTTGATGTATCTTCACAAAGCATCTTGGATGAGGACAGGAGACTGCTATTATTGTCTTAGGGACACAAAAAAAAAACCTGGAAGGGTCTTGGAAACTTGAGATAAAGGCCATTAAAGGTGAAAGAAGCACTTGCCAGAGTACATTGCCTCAGTGTGACATATAGAATTCAGAATGCTGGGAAATGATCAGCATTATCCGCATAGTGTGTATTTCCTTGTGCTGTCTTGTATTTTTTAATATTTTAGTCTCGTATTGTCATGTATGATGCTGTAGCCGATTCTGCGATAAGTCTAATCTTGTATTTTATGGTATGTTACATAATTTTATTGTATTTTCTAGCATAATGCTACTGTGTATCGGGTTTGGAATATAGTAACAGCTGAAGGCTTCCTGAACACTTCACACTTTAGTTACCAACTGGGAGTCGAGAAACACCTAACACTTCTCTTTCCATTCCCCTCAAGGAAGGTTCCTTGATGTTGGTGAGGGGCTCTTGATTTAGGGAATTGGATCTGTGCTCCAGTTCCCCAAATTAAGCCTGAATGCCTTCAACATCCCCCCAGGCGCTGTATAATCCTCCGGGTTTAGCGTTTCCCCCTTGATTTTAATAATAATAATAATAATTCTATTTCCATTAATGTGGGTATTATATACATTTATTAAACAAAGCAGAGCGAGTGTAGAGGATTTAGAATGATCACCACCCGTCCATCACCCTGTCCATCACCTTGTGTATCACCCTGTCCATCACCCTGTCCATCACTCTGTCCATCATTCTGTCAATCACTCTGTCCATCACCCTGTCCATCACTCTGTCCACCATTCTGTCCATCACTCTGTCCATCACCCTGTCCATCACTCTGTCCATCACTCTGTCCATCACTCTGTCCATCACTCTGTCCATCACTCTGTCCATCACCCTGCCCATCACCTTGTCCATCACTCAGTCCATCACCCTGCCCATCACCCTGTCCATCACCCTGTCCATCACTCTGTCCGTCACCCTATTTGTTTGTCCATCACCATCTCGGTCCATCACCTTCCATCAACCTGTTGCCGTCCATTGCCCTGTCCATTTTGTGACGGTACATAACCCTGTCTGTCCTTCCATCACCCTGTGTATTGTCCTGTTTGTCCACCCGTTACCTTGTCTATCTCCTTTTCTACCACTCAACTAATCTGTCCATCACTCTGTCCGCCCGTCCATTACCCTGTCCACTGGTCTCCGCAAGCTCCAGTACTTCTGTCGCAGGCCTTCCGTACTGCTAGATATATATATATATATATATATATATATATATATATATATATATATATATTATATATATATGTGTGTGTGTGTGTGTGTGTGTGTGTGTGTGTGTGTGTGTGTGTGTGTGTGTGTGTGTGTGTGTGTGTGTGTGTGTGTGTGTGTGTGTGTGTCTGTGTGTCTGTGCGTGTGTGTGTGTGTGTGTGTGTGTGTGTGTGTGTGTGTGTGTGTGTGTGTGTGTGTGTGTGTGTGTGTGTGTGTGTGTGTGTGTGTGTGTGTGTGTATGTCGTGCCGAATAGGCGAATTTGCGATCTTGGCTTAAATAGCAACGTTCATCTTGCCATATAGGACAAGTGAAAATTTGTGTATGCAATAATTTCGCCAAAATGACACTGAACCTAACGAAAAAAATATATTTTGCTGTGTTTGTTTAGTATTAAGTTACTGTAAACAAATCTAAAATATACTTAGTTGGGTTAGGTTAAAATAAATTGCTATTGTTATAATAAAGTTAGGTAAGTTTTCTAGGATTCTTTTGGTGCAAAATTAATTTTTTTTACATTAACATTAATGAAAAA